TTCCACCTCGCGACTCAAGCGAATACTCTGTTGATCTGGCATATCTGCTAACATGACTCCATCTATGGAGTGAGTATCCATGAGCTAATTAATTAATAAGGGCCACAGATAAAATGGGGCGTGCCGTTCCCCACGAGGTTATCGTTAGCTTGACTTTTGACTGCGGTGGGAAAGATTTGATGTTCTGTATGTAGCCGGTTGCCCCATCAACAACTGGGCGCGGGCCATATGGAGCCTGGCAGATAAGCAAGTGGGGACAATGAGTATGATGCAAGAATAGCCGGCGATTGCTTGATCAAACCGTTTCAATTGAGCTCTATGCATTCACGTTGTCCTTTACAGTGACAAGGTATAGCTTTCTTGCCGGATGATCTACCCTTTTCGGTCCAATCCGAGCCATGTGTGCCTGTTCCTGCCAAGTCGTAGCCTGCCTGTGTTCCTGAGGCACCATCGGAGTTTTGGCCGATCGCGTTCAACGATAAGCAGCAACCCCTCAAAACGTGGGGATCAATCATCGTTGTTCGCAGCCTTCATCAATGTGGGGGTGAACCTACTCTTCCGCACCTCTAGACTTAGACAAGACCGTTTCCACTATCCAGCAAAGGCAGGTTTATGGCATTCTACTCGGCCTATTTCCGATATCTGCTGTACGTCTCATCCTTAGCCCCGATGACGTTTCTCCTCGCGCCGAGGCCAAGCTCCTATAACGGGCTACGACTGGATAATCGGAGACCCCATTTTCGGCCTTCGAGGCCTAGTATGTCTTTTTTAACCGGACTGGGAATGTAATATATATTGCTCAATTCAACCCTTAATCTTACAGATAGCATTATTCCTCACCCTCCGTGGATCCGAGCTCGTGAGACAATGCGGCCGCTCAGCCAGGTGCCTCGGGCATTCCCCGCACATCTCCGCGCGCTTCAATGCCGGCCCAGCGCCCTCTCGCCACGCCAGCCCTTCCCTCTTCGACGGGCAGTGCGTTGGGCTAGCTCAGAGGTAGGACACAAGAATGACGGCAATACTGGACAGGAGAACGGTGCCAATACTGGGCCTTCTGGCAACCGCTCGGGTTCTCGAAATTCAGGCAGGACCCTGTTAGCCTCTGCCCTGGCTGCGGGCGTCGGCTATGCATATGCTGTGACGAGCGGACAGTCCCAGTCTCTGGATAGCAAGCATCCCAAGTATGGATCTGCGAAGGATTTTGAGAAGGTAGAAAACTATCCAGCTCTCCCGTGTTCTTAATATATATATATGTTACATATATATATATAGTATATCATGTGTACTTGACTAAACATCGATTTGAACAAACAGGCCATTGCAGAACTGCGAGCCACGCTTGGCGATGAAATCATCAGCACCGACAAAGACGATCTTCAACAACATGGGTTTTCAGAATGGTCCAGCGTCAATGCTGATCGTCTGCCAGTTGCCATTGCCTACCCGGCGAGTACAGATGATGTTTCCAAGATCGCTAAGATCTGCCACAAATACAAAATGCCAATGATACCCTACTCCGGAGGTTCTAGTCTGGAGGCCAACTTTTCGGCCCCTCTAGGCGGATTGACCATTGATTTCGTGACGATGAATAAGATACTTGAGTTGCACGAATCTGATATGGACGTTGTGGTTCAACCGTCCATTCAATGGATGGATCTGAATGAGAGGATTAAGGACAGCGGTCTTTTCTTTCCCGTTGACCCGGGACCGTCTGCAATGATAGGTGGCATGATTGGGACAAACTGCAGTGGAACCAATGCCGTGAGGTACGGGACCATGAAAGACTGGGTAATTAACCTTACTGTCGTGCTGGCGGATGGTCGGGTCATTAAGACACGTCGCCGTCCACGCAAAACTTCAGCCGGGTATAACTTGACAGGAATGTTTGTTGGGTCTGAAGGAACACTTGGTATTGTGACTGAAGCTACCCTGAAATTGACGCCGATTCCAGAGCAGACTCGTGTCGGCGTGGTGACCTTCCCCACTGTACGTGATGCGGCATCCACTGCCATGCAGCTTGTTCGAAAAGGCATTCAAGTACAGTGTATGGAGATTCTTGATGAGATACAGATGGATGTCATCAACCGCGCCGGAGGAACTGGGAGAACATGGAAGAAATTGCCCACTCTGTTCTTCAAGTTCTCCGGCACCAAAGCTGGGGTCGCGGATAGTATTAACCTGACCAAAGCACTAGCAAAGAACAACAACGCAAGCTCGTTCGAATTTGCAAGAGACGAGCGAGAAGCACATGATTTATGGTCTGCACGAAAACAATCGCTCTGGAGTATGCTGGCACTAAGAGAGCGAGGATCTGAAGTATGGTCAACCGACGTTTCCGTGCCCATCTCTAGATTGCCAGACATTATTGGTATGCTTTTTGACAACCCAGTACCCGGATGTTAGCTAACCATAGTAGAAATCTCCAAGAAAGAACTCGATGACCTGGGAATTTTTGCCAGTATCCTTGGGCATATTGGAGATGGCAACTTCCACGCAAGTATCTTATATGATCGCACTATTCAAGAAGAAAGGGAGCGAGTAGAAAAGGTTGTGTACGACATGGTTGATCGCGCTTTGGAAATGGAAGGCTCTTGCACCGTAAGACATCTGCAAACTGAACTTGTACCTGAAGCATGACTGACCAGTTTCCAGGGTGAACATGGTGTGGGATTGGGTAAAAAAGATTCACTGAAAAAGGAGCTTGGCCCAGCCACGATTGGAATTATGCGTTCCATCAAGAAGTCTCTCGACCCACATTGGTTATTGAACCCTGGCAAGATCTTCGATTATGAGGACGAAGCATAGATGGCGCAATCTGATCTCTCAGCTGAGTATGGCATATGCATAGTAAATAGGACAGACAAAAGGCCGTACATATCAATGGCTAGTTTCATAGCAACTATGTCACTTTCAACTATATTGACACCATCCATTTATGGTCTAGTTCAAGGCCCTAAAATGATGCCATTCACATTTCTATAAGATCGGAGCAATCGGCCAATCAGATTGGCGGAGAATGCTACGGAGTGGTTAGTCAGTCAGTAGTGAGGGCTGAGTCACAGCGGGGCAGATGTGCTCCGGAGCGATATCGCAGTTTTAATCGGTAACGCCACTCTTGTCCCTCTCCAACTTCCGCATCATTGTCCAAGAGGTGAGTGCAATTCGTTTGATTTGCTTATAGTTCAATCACACTGTGGCTATTGCAAAGCGACCCGTTTGTTTATCGTGTCACAATCTTCAAAAAAAATGCCGATCGTGGAGATACAACTGTGCTTTCATCCCTTGCGGGGCTCCGTCGGTTAAGGCGCTGCAACCGGATGTTGGCCATGTCTCCCCGTGAGCATGTTCCAATTGAGATTTTTATGCCAATGCTTCTGTTTAAATCATCCATCGTTGTCTCATTACCTATCAAAGACGTGTAATTGACAACTGTCAGATCACGAGAATCGCAGAGCGACCTACTCGATATCAAACAAAATGGCCTCATATCCTAAGAAGAAGTGCGGTATGGATATACAACACGAGCGACTTGTCTGTGGCTGCGTTGCTGATAACCTCCAGGTGTTTTGGGCGCCACCGGCTCCGTGGGCCAGCGTTTTATCCTCCTACTTGCCGACCACCCTTTCCTGGAGCTGCACGCCGTCGGTGCGTCTGAGCGCTCTGCGGGCAAACAATACAAGGATGCCGTGAGATGGAAGCAGTCTACGGCTATGTCGGAGAAGCTTAGCACACTCGTCCTTCGTGACTGCAAGGCTGAACAATTCGCTGACTGCGATCTCGTCTTCTCTGGACTCAACAGCGACATTGCGGGTGATGTTGGTATGTGGTTCTTTGCCCAGGCGACAATACTACCTGCTGATCACAACTGTTACAGAGATGGAATTCATCAAGGCCGATATTCCCGTCTTCTCGAACGCGAAGAACTACCGCAAGCACCCTCTCGTCCCTCTCGTCGTCCCCACCGTCAACCCCCACCACCTGGACCTCATCCCTCACCAGCGCAAACACTTCGGCCTGAAGAAGGGATTCTTGGTTTGCAACTCCAACTGCGCTGTCATTGGTGTTGTCATCCCGTTCGCTGCCCTGCAGGCCAAGTTTGGACCCGTTGAGGAGGTGGAAGTCTTCACCGAGCAGGCTCTCTCTGGAGCTGGTTACCCGGGTGTCCCCAGCATGGACATCCTGGACAACGTCATTCCTTTCATCAGCGGTGAGGAAGACAAGCTTGAGAACGAAGCCCAGAAGATCTTGGGCTCCTTGAACGCCGATGCTACGGCTTTCGAAGAGCAGTCCGGTCTCCGTGTTGGCGCCACTTGCACTCGTGTTGGAGTCACTGACGGTCACATGGCTTTTGTTTCCTTGCGCTTCAAGAACCGCCCCGCTCCCAGCGCAGAGCAGGTGGCCCAGGCCATGAGGGAGTACCAGTCAGAGGCTCAGAAGCTTGGCGCTCCTTCTGCACCCGCGCAGGCTATCCGGGTGTTCGACGAGCCCGACAGACCCCAGCCTAGACTGGACCGGGACATCTCCAAGGGCTACACCGTTAGCGTCGGACGGGTGCGCGACGGCAATGAGGGTGGCTACTTCGATCTCCGCTTCGCTGCTCTTTCGCACAACACCGTTATCGGTGCTGCTGGATCGTCCATCCTCAACGCGGAGGTTGCGGTCATCAAGGGCTACATCTAAACATGTGAAGAGATCTATGGCATATAGCGATTAGACGGCGTCAGATATCCTTTTGTTTCTAGATATTTCAGCTACTAAAAGCAAAAAGCATTGAACAATAGCCCAATACTATCTAATGAAGCCTAGACCCAGTATTGATTATGTAACACACATGACCCACCAGGCTAGTACTGGTCGGGACTAGTTGGGCTGGCCTAAAGAACGGTATTAGTGCTAGGGCTAAGCCCCGCTAGCACCAGCCGCTAAGCGAAAAATGCAGATGGGCCGGATATCAGCTGCTGAAGTCCTTGTTCCGTCTCCTTCTTTTCCTCGCGACACTTCGACAACTAACCGGTTCAAGTCGACAAAGCAGCCAAGATGCCTCGCGGACCGTGAGTTACACGCCCTACGCTGTTCTTATTGCACGAAGCAAGATCATCGGTGGAATTGCGTTTTCACCGTTTTTCGTCGCTACGGCAGAAGAATTGAAGATTTTGAGGAGTTGAATACTAACCACCATGTTCGTACAGTAAGAAGCACCAGAAGCGCCTTAGCGCGCCTTCTCACTGGCTCCTGGACAAGATGTCCGGAACCTACGCCCCCAAGGCCTCCCCCGGTCCTCACAAGCTCCGGGACTGCCTGCCCCTGATCGTCTTCATCCGCAACCGGTACGACCCATCCAACGATTACGAGAGGAACGAAGAGAATTCGAGGAATCGGTGGACTGACAGTTTTATAGTCTCAAGTACGCCCTTAACGGCCGTGAGACCAAGGCGATCATGATGCAGCGTCTGATCAAGGTCGACGGCAAGGTCCGCACCGACCCTACCTACCCCGCTGGTTTCATGGACGTCATCGGCATCGAGAAGACCGGCGAGAACTTCCGTCTCATCTACGACACCAAGGGTCGCTTCACCGTCCACCGCATCCAGGCTGAGGAGGCCGAGTACAAGCTCTGCAAGGTCAAGCGTGTTCAGCTCGGCAAGGGCGGGATCCCATTCTTGGTTACGCACGATGCGAGAACGTGAGTGCATACTCTCTACAAGTTCCGCGTCATTCAGTCGTTGGACCAAGCTTTGGTTGATCGGCGGAGGACGACAGAACTAGAATCGCAGTTCTTTGCTGGAACACAGTAAGGAGCCGCAACGTGAGAACAAAGCGTGCTAACAAGGGCTTTTCTTATAGCATCCGTTACCCCGACCCCGCCATCAAGGTTAACGACACCGTGAAGATCGACATTGCCACTGGCAAGATCGCCGACTTCGTCAAGTTCGACACTGGTGTTGTCGCCATGGCCACCGGTGGTCGTAACATGGGTCGTGTCGGTGTCGTCACCCACCGTGAGCGCCACGATGGTGGTTTCAACATCGTCCACATCAAGGACGCTATTGACAACACCTTCGCCACCCGTGAGTCCAACGTCTTCGTCATCGGTCAGGACAAGCCCTGGATTTCCCTGCCCAAGGGCAAGGGTGTCAAGCTCTCTATCGCCGAGGAGCGTGACCGCCGCCGTGCCCTCCAGTAAATGTGGCATGGTAAGTGATGTAGGCTGCCGGAAAAATAAAAGCGTTGAAAAATTCCGCTGTGGCGATGACATCTTGTCTTGCTTTGTGGACCTGTATGACGCCGGTTACGATAATTATATGAAGCGTTATCCAGAACAAAAAAAGAGAAAGAATTGTCTACAGGACACAAAGTTACACCTGTCAACTACTGTACCGTAGACTTGTACACTAAAGCAAGGTCAAGATGCCAAGTCTGTCTGCCTGTGATTGTATGATACCATTAATTCTTTAAGTCCATTCCTTTCCTGGAATTTGTAACTGGGCCAGTTGCAGTAGGACATTTCTTATTCTTACCACCTCCAACTTCCCTCGTCCCCCTTTGTTTTGTCTATTTCCCTGACCCATTCACGGAGCAAACTCCGCCGGATACTCCCGTGCCACCCCAGCAGATCTATCTAATCCATGGTAAGACTCGCGCAGATGCTACTATCTGGACGGCCCATCGCCTCGAGTCCACCCTGTCGTGACCTCTAACAGGGATGCTACGGTGCCGGGAACAACAGGGTGGGATGGTAGATGCAATCCATTCATGGGTCCTTGGAAAAAAGTTTACGTCTCACATCCCAAGGCGGGAGCCAACCGATCCAAAAGGGAAGCTGCACTTGGAGATGAATGAACAGTGGCTGGAGTAGTTGGCCGAAGTTGACCTGGTGCAGTGTCGACCCATCGGACTATGAGGAATTGCGAGTCTTGGGGGTTCTCCTGTGCTGCCTTGGTTTCGTTGAAATCAGCCAACCGTACATCTCCTTTAGCCCATCTACTCTGTACAAGGCTACAAGTAGGAATGTAACACGTCAACTGGGCTGCTGCAGGTCAGTATGGATCTTCTCCTCATCTTTCTCCTCCCCTCTTTTTCTCTTCCCCTCCTCTCCCTATTAGCCGTGGGGAGTAGTGGATTAGGAGGGATTTAGCGAGAAGAGACGGGACCTAGAATGGGAGAACAAAAATAATAAAAAATAAATCAATAGATGTGAGTTGTTGCGTGGGATGAGGAGACGATGGAGTATTCGACGGACGGACTGGTATCTTAGTTCTTGGTTGCTGATGCCGGTGCAGATTGCAGATGCCGCTCTAGTCGCACTGATGGGATGGAATGATAAGAGAGGAATTGATTCATCTGGATACATCCTCCTGCCGGCGCCCCTTTGGCCCGATTCCTCCTCTCGATCCTCGGCATATCAGAGGAAGCGCCAAACGAATCGGGTGCTGACCATGCAGACTTAGCCACCATGTCGCATGGGTTAGTTTGCGTTAAGTCAACTGACAAGTCATCTTGACCTAGTCGATCTCACTGTGATTGATAATTGATATTCGACCATCGCCGTGGTCGGACTTTCCTTCGATCCACGCCTTCTGGCGCTCGGGATGTTTCGGTTAAGCTCAGAAAACAGGATCAGAGGGGGGGAAAGATGGGGTTGCGATCCATCACTTGCGGGTTGCGCCTTTGCTTGAATGTTTTCTTTTTCCATCTCCGTATCTTATTCCCCTCTGCCCACCTTCTCCGCTCTCTTTTCCCCCTTTGTCTGGGAAAGGCTTGCCCACCATCTTCCTTTTGTGGATGGAGGTGCCTTAGGGTTCTTGGATGTCTCTCGGCCATGTCAGGCAGGATACCGGCAGGATTCGTCCGAGGGATCGAGGCGGCACGATCATCGAGGGAAAGGTGGCATCGCACACACTTGTATCACAGTGTCCGTTGCTCAGTCCAAGGGTATTCACATATTGCTTCCCCCGCGAGCCCTGGAAAAGCAGAAGATGCTCGGCAGTGGTCTTCTCTCCGTTTGGTAGATGAGTACGAAGGTTATATACCTACCTGGCCTGTGAGCGAGGCTTTCGAGATGTTTGTCTCAAGCCACGGTGACATAGCCCACCCGTTAACTCGCTTCTACACACACGCACTCGTCCACGCACACCATACATACTTGCTTAGCCTCCGAGCCAGGCTCATGCATGCTGCACGTCCGGAACCAATCCGGGTCTAGCAGGCCACGTCTATCTGGATGGACAGGTCGCTGTCCGGGAATGGTGACCAAGCTATAATGCTCCTCACATAGTGATCAACTATAGGCTCTGGCTGTAAGCAACCCCCACGCATCTGCACGGCAGATGGCTTGTGAAAGCGATTGTTTTCGCACAACGTCACGTCACAACATGCGGGAAACACAGAGAACAATCATCTAGGTATGTATGTAGACATCATATGTAAGTAAGCGGGCGTGTTGGAGACGGAGGACCAGGCAGCCGAGTGACAACATGGCTACGGACTACGAGTGGTGGTTATCTAGGGTTTGACAAGGTCTTGACAACCGTTGCGCTCTTGCAGAAGGACTCCTCCCGCCTACATACAAGCCCAGTCAGTCACCCATCAATAGTTGTCGCTTGCCATGGCTGTGGCTATCCGCTCCGAGTCTGGACCTTCCGGGCCGTGCAAGTAAGTACAGGGGCGTTGAGGTTCCAGGTCACCATCTCTGCATGCGACAGCTCAGCGACACAGCCCTGTCTTTGCAGGATGGTAACCATACTGGCCTAGACGTAGAATCTGGCGAGGAAGCAAAAGTGGTGAGTCGTGACACAGGATGGAGGGAAGGAAGGAAGCTTCAATTCTTTCACTTCTTGGACATCCCTCTCTCTCCTCAAAGGGACGCCCCGTGGCCGCGAAAACGGCGGCGGAATGAGCGGGTCTCGACGACTAGGGTCATCACGGAATACATTGGCCGGAGTACTCCGGTCCAAAGTCCAAGATGAAGATGTCTTACACTTCCTGGGATGCTTGTGAATGGCACAACGTGGAGGGAAGCCGTGTGCAGCGGCGCTGCCGTGGCTATCTGCAACCCGCAACTTCCGGCGTCTGATGATTGCAGCAGAATTGATTCGGATGGCTGATTTCTAACTTTTGGTTTCTATTCGGCCTCTTGCTGTGACCCATCGACAATATTGCCTCCTCCTCCCATAGTGGATGGAAAGACGTCTAGTCTAATAATTCGACAGTAAGTTGATGCCGGGCACACCAGGGTTTTCTCCTAAGCGGGGCCCCTGATTCCAACCTCTTGTTGCCCTGCGCCACAATATCTGGCTGGTCTCTGGTAATCTAGTCTAGTGGATGGAAGTTTCGGGGTGGAGATGCTATGCTCGATCATCGAATCCCGCCATGACTTTCCACCCGAAGGCGAAGTTTAGCTTGTCTCGATAGTTTCCAACCTTCTGGTATCCACGCGTTCCTGAGAGTTAGGATCAATTAAGGCACCAGGTACCGTGGAGAAGCAAAGAGGGAAGAATTTTGAAGGATTTACATTCCTTCCTTCATTGATCGATTGGGATGCACCAGACGAACAAAGCAATTGAATTGTTCTTCTTTTTCTCTTGATGGTGGATCCTGCTTGGCGAAAAGACACCCACCGCCACGAGCTCCTCCGCTGCTGCTCGAATCCCCATTGACTCCCATTCTCTTTCTCCAGACTACTACTTACTGCTCTCTCTTCTCTCACTTGCTATTGGTATTATGGTCAATCCTTCCTGGGTGACCGAATCCACATCTATCTGCCCCCCGGTCTGTGGGACATGCAACGTCGGCTGTTGAGGGTAACACTGGCGTGGACACGTCCGAGGACTGCAGTCTAGCTCTATCTATTCATTCCCCAGTCCGCCGTCGTCATCATTCAATCCTGGGAGGTGGTCTGGACTGGAGTTGAGAAGCGTAAAAAAAATTAACAGAAAATTGAGGACCAGCCAATGATGATGAACCCGCGAGGTCAATCAGGCCATCTGGGGGCGGTAGAATGGAAGCAGACTCCAATTGTTCGCCCAGAAGCAATCCCCCCCGATCGCCATCGCCCCGATCAGCGGCGATACGCTTTTCTGCATTGCACTCGCTTCACCCACTAATTTAGTCGCAGCTGTAGCAAGAGAGGTTGCTAGCCACCCGATCGTTTACTTTTTATTTTTTATTTTTTATTTTTTTTTTTCAATCTTACACAAGAGATGGATACGACTAGACTATCTACGTACCTAGCAGGCTGGAGATATTCGTGTGCGACCAGCTTTCGACACAGCATTTCTGTCTGGCCAGCTAAGCTAGGAAGCTAGCTACTGTAATGGGTTCCCACAGCGGGATTGGAGGATCAGCCCTTCATGCTTCGACATCATCATCATGACTGACAACGATGGCTTTTGCTTTGCCTTGCCTTTTGCCTCTGGCTTACTCTCAGCCGTGCTCCTGGCGCTTGACGAATGTCGCCTCTCGCTCAGCTGCTCCTACTGTAGTCTAGCTACTTACTGCTCAGTGGCTCGACTGCCTCGTCTTCTCCCGCGAGGCTGATGTATAGTTGACTTCATTAATATCCTGTCATCCGTACACCGCTACGGCTCTGGAACACGAACAAGATTGATCTCTCTCTCTTTCTCTCTTTCACACAGTCTCTTCCTCTGTGTCTGGTCTCATTGCCGATGAGATGCGGCCCCAAGTGAACCTTCCAGAAACCGAAATAGTCCTGCATGACCAGGACCCTCTCGGGGTGCTGTTGTGCACGCACTGTTCCATCTGTTCCCTCTTGCTCCATCCATCTTCTTGACCGCTTCTCTTTCTTCTCTGTAGTGTGTATGATTTCTCTCTCACTCCAATTTCCTTTTTGGATTTTTATCCATTTTTATTCTATTTTCTTTTCTTGTTCCGTCTTTCTAAATATTCAATTTCAATTTAATTTTATTTTCTTCTCTGAATATTCTTTCAATTTTATTTTATTTTGTTTTATTTTGTTTGATTAATTATTTTTAATACCTCCCTTCTAGGGTTATCTCATATTTCTATTCCACTCTAGAATACTAACTGTTTGTTCCACTGGCCCGCCGTTGGCTGGCGTTCTTTATTATTGTTACTATTATCGGTCCTACTATTGCCAACGGCCCCGATTATTTATGGAGACGACGATTATTGATGCTTGAATCCGGTTTATTATTCACAGCCCATGTGGGGAGGGTCTGCTCGGCTGCTCCTAGACGGGCCCCAAGACCTAACGGTCCTTCCAGGGGCCCGGAGAATGCATTCCTTCCCTTGGCCACCAGTCGAGGATTAAATGATGCGACGGCCAACTGGCTTGATTGGAGTCGTCGGCCCACCGCTAGGCCCTGGCCATGATTTCAGCTCCTGTATCAAAAGGTAATCTCCGTCCCTTTAGCCTATCCTGGCTCCCGGGTCCCAGTGGTTCGGATCTGGATCAGCCCTCGTCTGCCCTTCTTCTTTCTGTCCTGTAATGCGCCACTTGCCGCCATGCTTTCTGGCCGCTCGGATGCCACAGGCAGCAGTAGTAGCAGCAGCAGCAGGAGCAGCATTATTGTGCTTCGTTGATGGAAGCTCTCCTCGCCTATCCAGCTGCTCTCCCCCGTGAGTTGTCAAACGTGGCAAAAGGTCTTGAAGAACGGAAAGTAGTCTGCACCAGCTGAAGGACGATAAGGTCTATCATCCGTCGTGGCCAGCTTTCTGCAGATTTCTCTGATGGTGCAATGCACGGTGCAATACAATAGAGCTAGCTGTTTGGATTAATCCTCTTATCTGGTTTTCTACTTCTGTTTCTGTTTCGGTCCCTGTTCCCGGTCCATTCAATACACCCTCGTTCAACCTGCTGGAAGCCGGCCGGTGTGCCCTCGTCAACTATCCAATTTTTTTTTTTTTTTACCTTTCTTTGTGTACATTTGGGCTCGAGCCCTCTCGTCCTTCCGGTTTCCGTGAGGTTAGTCCCCGGCCTGTTTCATCTGACGTCGTCTATTCCCCTGCCCTATATGCCTGATCCTGGGGGGCGTTCTAGAATGTTGATATCAATACCTGGCATCGGGAAGGGCTTGGTTCCGATCACACATTGGTACTACACCTACAGGGATAAAAGGACCCCGGGAACAAGGCAACGGTGTCCGCTGCTACTTATTTCGTCACTATGTTGTTCTGTTGCTGAATCGTAGTCTCCTCCAGTGTCAAAAGGGACCGTCCGTTCCCCTTCGTCGTTGTTTGAACCAAGGTCCCGCGAGCCATCTTGACTGTTTCTGGCATGTCTGCGTATTCACCTTCGGCCAGCGTGCCGTTCCCAGGCACGGGACAACCGGCCTACCTAGAACTGTTTCCCTCGGGCGAGGTTCCCCAGACCTTCTTCACGTATCGGTGGTGGGAGGACGAGGCCACCACTGTGTTCTGGGCCTTTGATCCCCATGAGATCAAGCGGGTGATTCGATTCGGTCTCTTTCGAGACAGCAACCTCCCGCGAAAGTCTCTTCAGAAACGCGATCCCCAAGCCATCACCGCGTTTCTGTACTCGCTTGTGGAGCCGCACGAGACGGCATTCATTGACAACCTGTCCCATTATCAGAAGGTCGAGGAAATCATTCGACGATGTCAAATCTCCGGTCCTCCCCTCGAGCCTTGGAGCTGGCTTCCTACCAAGCGGGATAGTGACATGCCCTCGATAGCAATAGCAGAAGCCATCGACACGGAGAGTCATCTGCATTTCACCCGAATTTCGTTTGAGGAGCTGGTCCGCTATTTCTTGGGCTACCGAGCACACTCGGTAGAGTGGTTTTTACAACAACATACGGCGCTTTACATCCACTTGCTCAACTATTTGCAAATTTTTCCGGAGGAGCTGGGGAAGTACAAAGAGGTGGAACAGGTATGTGATTGATATTTGGCATGATGCTCTGCTGCCAAGTACTGACTCTGGACTAGCATCTTCAGACTCGCAGCCCATTCGCCCACCGTGCCGTGAACCGGTGCCTACACGCCTTGAGACAGCCAGTACCAGCCAGCACACCGTACCCGGGCTTCCAATTCATCGCAGCGCCTATCCAGCAGCTGTTTAAGGAGCATCTGCCGAGTCTGAAAGCCATTCTACTTGAGCTCTCGGTATTGGGGGTACGGTTTACCCGAACATACGTCCACGCCCGGGAGATGAACTGGACGAAGCCATTTTCGGTCGAAATTCCCTTGCTCGACGAGCTAGATTTGACGAACCCAGCACCGGCTCTGGATTTCGCCAAGACCACCACCGCCCTCGACGAAGAATACTTCTCTGGGTTGAGTCAGAA